AACCCAGGTCTGTTTGTTTCTCCAAAGCCCAAGAGTTGTCTTCTTCATAGAACATGTGGCTGGATCCAGAAATAACCTTGATCCTGCTCCACTTTTCAAACACCTCCATGAAAGTATTAGTAATTTATCAAATAAAATAGATTAGTTTACGCTATTTTAATTATACATAGATTGAGAACACTCTCCCAGTTGTCCAAATAAGTGACCGTGAAGTACCTCTTAAATCCCCGTAGAGAATGCTCATTATCTTCTAGATTATATAATCCGGCATTAAAAAATAAGTCATTCTATATCACTTATATAAAATCTTTTTAAAAGTCTCTAACCGATGGTTACAGTCTGATAGAGAAGCAAAGAGCAGGGCTAACAGGAATGGCAAAATACAGGTAGATTGGGACCTAAGCAAAGACGTCAGAAAGAGAAAAAGTCAATAGGATTTGGTAAGTGGATGACATAAAACAGTTTTAAAGGGAAAAGGAGAAGCTATGACATTGCCTACTCCCATTCTAGAGGATGAATAAAAGAAACCAGAATCATTAACACAACTGAAAAAGCCCAGACATTTTCTGAAGAGAAAACGTGAGTTCAATTTCACCTATGCTGCCCTTCAAGCAACAACAGAGAAGTTAGATGGAAATGTCCCAAGAAATATATTTGGAATCATTGCTGAAGAGTTGAGGGCAGCTCCGGGGCCCCACTGGTATGCTGGCTGGGAGTAGGCAGAGCTGCAGGCTGAATCGGCAGGTGCCAGGCCTGCAGGAAAGGAGTCTCAGGAGAAAGTCACAGGGGATGTAAAATCCGGCACCACAGATATGTGAACAAGACAGGGAAAACACTGTAAGGAAAACTTTAAGGAAGATGGTTTTCATAGTGGGATGGGAGTAGAAGTGAGATCAAAGAATTCAGAAATAAACCGTGAGCAGCCGATATGCTGGATAAAGGCTCTAGAAAGTTCTATGAAGTAATAACCAGTCATGTTTTGCAATAATCATGATATTTCAAAATGGAATGCAGTTGTCAGTACCACTCCAAAGCGATGACTCAGAGGTCGAAGTAGTAGCTATACTGTGAAAATGATATTTTTTCAACAACAGTGAAAAAACAAAAAACAGTCGGTCAGTAGAGACAATAGAAATGCTTGACATTGGCATTTTTCCAAGGAAGATGCTTCATAAAGCTGAGACTGTGTGTGGTTCAGAGGTAGAGCACTTGCCTAGTGTTCCTGAAGCCCTGGGTTCAATCGCAGCACAAAACAAAACAACAAAGCAGGCCACTGAACTAAGGTTCTCTGGACTAGAAACAGTACACATCTATCTTTGTGCTTTCTGTTTCAAAAACTGATGAAGGGAAGGATCTGAAGATCTCGCTTAGGTGGCAGTGTGTTTGCCTAGCGTGAAAAAGTCCTGGGTTCAGTCTTCATCACCACATGCAGAGAACCTGGTATAGAAGTGTATGCCTTTAATCCCAGGAGACTGGAGATGGAGTTGAAAGGATTCCATATTCAACAGCATCCTCAGCTACATTTTGAGTTTGAGGCCAGCCTGGGATATATAAGACCATGTCTCAGAAAGAAGGGAGAGAAGGAGGAGAGGGATTCGAACCAATTTAGTGATAGTCTTCTCAAAATAGAGAATGATTCTGGGAGTTTATCAATATCTGAATTAAAACAAAAATAAAGTCCATAGGAAGAGTTTTGTTGTTGAACTATTCCAATATTAAGGTACTCAGGAAAGATAGAAAATACTAGTGCTCATGTCAAATAGTTCACAACCCATCATGTGACTATTAAAGTGGCTTATGTGGTGAATTTTCTCTTGGTCAGCCTTAGGATACAGCTCCCTTTTATAGTATGTACATTTAGCTTGGATACTTCTGGGTCCACATACATGTATAGATGAACTCATATTTCATATTTATTAACAAACTCATTGAAGTCTAATGACTTTAATGTACTAATAACACTCATTTTAAACCAAAATATTCTCTTGGACTTGTGATAGAACTTTCATCTCTGCTCTCTTAATAGATGAGGTAAATTAAACTGTTCATTCCAAAAAAAATTTGGAAATCCATATATTAGTCAAACATGGTTGACCATAAAAGTCCAAAACTGCAACATAATTCCAGTAAGAAGAAAAGTTATGCCCAAGCTGAGTGAAGGAAATAAACTAAACTTAGAAAGATTATTAATCTGTGAGTACAGAAGCTTTGGAGAATCATAGGATTCCACGATTCTCCTAGAAGTTAGGCTAGTGAAAAGTAGGGTTCCACTGTACATAGATCAATGAGAAATTGGCATTATTTTGCCTGTTTTTCTTTTAATTAACAACTGGTCTTAATAGGTGTTAGGAATAACACACACACACATACACACACGCACACCAGGCTTGGGCTGTAGACTTTTTAGAAATTATGTAAAAATTAATCAGAACCACTAGAAATACAAACATGTCTTTGTCATTGAAATATCCAGATCTACAAACAAAAAAAATAAGGTAACTGTGTAATTGCATTCATAAAACAAGCTGTCTCAATTTCTTATAGACAAATACTTATGCCATCACTTAAGTATTTACCTTATAACATTTTGGAGATTTTTCTAGCTCTTTAAAAATCCTCTGCACTTTCAACATCTAAGTGTTATTTGCATTGAAAATGAGTTTTTCTGTATGAAACAGTATATTCTAAAATGAAATAGAGATATTTTTAAAGGTTAAAACCTCATTCAATTTTATGTCTTACAGGGTTTATACTGAGTACAATAATGTATAACTGCATTAATTCAACACTGTGAACCTAAAAACTACAGTCAATTTTGGAAAGAGATGCATCTTTGCTCTGGAAACTGTTATTGACTATGTCAATGTAATGAAATGCTTCTACTAATTATGTGGTTATTAAATAAATTGTTAAAAATCCTCTGCACTTTCTAGGTCACTCAGATAAAACGCTATGAATATTGCATTTAAAATAATTTTCCACTATGTTTTTCTTCTGAAAAACTATTTTTCCTTGCAGAATTCAAACAACTGTTTGAAATCCTGAAATACCTATGTGCATTTCAAAACTCGCATTTCATAAAGGGCATTTATCCTATAGAATTAAAGTTTACTAAATAATAACTATAACTTTAAGTGATGCAAGCTGTCAGAATTGTTGAATGCCAAAGTCCACGCTGGTCGCTCATCACACCTTTGCTACATTGGAAAAGGAAAAACAGCAGAATGGAAGCAGTGAAGAAGGGCGGGGCCACCTTTGAGCTTCTTCACTGTTGCATGTTTTTCATAAATAACAATTTAAACATCCTCAAAGGTTAATATTTTCTGGTTCTATGTGAAAGTAGAGGGAAAAATCAATATAGTCATGCATGATATGAAGCAACAGAGGACCAGAGCATCTTATTTGTAGCAAATTTTATTTCAAGTAGCCATAAAAGGTATCCAGTTACTCATCAGATTAATTTATAAGATCATGCACGATGTAAATAGAAAGCTCCAAAGAAAAGAAACATTCCTGACAGTTCTAACAAGTGAGCTGAAGGTACGCAGAAATGGACATCGGAACTTTCTGCGCAGGGCTGATGCCTGAATCTTTATTCTCGCTGCTTCCTGTCATTTCAGCATAAGATAAAGTGGAATCCAGAGAAGCAAAAACTAATACTCCAAGGGAAAAGAAACTTCGCGATGGGATATATCATGAGAGGTGGTTAATTTTATTAATACTCACAGAGAAATGTTGCAAACGGGATGGGATGTTGATTAAAACATCTATTTTGCAACACAGTTAACAAGGAAATGAATTGTGAGGATTGTATTGCTGCTTACATCACATTTAGATACTTCTCCTTGAGTGTCCGGCAGAGTTATGAACTTTTTTTCTTTTTGCAATGAAACCAGGTAAAATAAAACGGAAATCTTCCCACAGAGCATTGAAAGCGTTAACTTAGTATTTTATTTTGAAAATAGAGAAAATCATATTAATTTGGGAAAATGTTATAAGGGCAGATTAGGTATGATAAAAAAAATCACTTAAAATCAATAGCAAAACATAAAGAAAATAATTTCCAATTTTTGACATTGACTGTAAAGCAAAGGACTGTGCATCAGAGATTTCGTTGTTGTTTTTTTTAAATTTCAATCTTCAGAGTTGATTTCCCATTGTTAAAAACAGAAAATAGATCCACCCACAGTCCAACCCAGAGCATATCTATATGCACAGCTTCAAGGAAAATGCAACACCATTCCTTAGTGTAGCCTAAGTCCCAGTGTTCTTATTCCCTCTGACATCTAGTGACCATAAAGTATAAAAGGTGTTGAATGTCCTTGACAGTACATAATCTTTCAACAAGTAAAGTTAACTGTGTAACATAGATAAAATGAAGTAACGAAACGCTATACAAAACTAAGAGTTTATATTTTTCTAACAATAGCATTCTCCCTCATATTTCCTCAAGCGCCTAGAATGACAGGACTCCACATAGCCATCCCAGAACTTCCCATTTCTACTGCTTCACACCATAATCTTTGTAGGCACAATTGCAACAGAAAATGATTTGATCTTTATATGGGGCCAGTAAAAAATGCTTTCGCCTCCAAAACCATACAGTAAATTCAACTAGAATTTTAGTTAAGTAAAGCTATTTACTTTGTAGGTAATGAAAATCACCAAGGTTCTAAGAGTCATTTGCTTTGGTTTCTGTATTAGGAAGTTTTATTCTTATTTGAGGTATCAAAAGCCTATCCCCTATGTAAGTCAACATTAAAGTGATTATTCAACCAGACTTCACAGATACTCTTAGTAAAAGTTTGTGTGCCCAAGATCAGTTTGCCAGAAGTTAGAGTAGTCTAGTACTGGGGAGGTAGGAGTATAAAATCTCGGTGCCCTGCACCCATCTCAAAAGCACCCATTCTTTGAAAACAAATTTGCAGTTGCCCAGACTAAGACGGTTGTACATCATAGCAAATCGTGATAGATCTTCCAGCTCTACGTCACATGCTTTTTTCTCTTACCACTCACATAATTAGTGCTCTTTTCTTTTTAAAATATGTGCCTGTTTCAAATTTGTATTATTTTTTTCAGATGTCTAATTTCAGTTACGTTCTTTCCCTCTTTGGTCTCTTCCCGCATTTCACATACCAGACAAATAGTTAAAAGTCTGTGAAACCAGGCAAGCTTCCAAAATATTTCAAAATGAAACTGCCCCAGGTGACAGAAAGGAAAAAGGCAAAGCTTACATGACCAAGATTTCAACAAACTGGCTGGAAATGTATTGGAAAATCCATTCAGGTTGCTGGAGCCATGAAGAGATTTCAATGAGACATAAACATTCAAGTTACTGACAGAGCCAACATGTTCCATGATCACTCACAGTAGTCCACTCGTCACGGAGCAGTGTGCTTTATTAGGAGTTATTTTCTTTTAAAAACTGTTTTCTTGTTTAGTATTGAAGAAGTGAAAGCATTTGAGAAAACATTCAAAATTCTGAGAATAAATGTCAGCAAAATTTAATGTCTGTAATTCATAAAACTTACATCCTTTACATAGGGTTTATTTGTATATAATAAAAATTTCACCATAACTAAATTCTTTCTGGAAAGTATTTTATATGCTAATTTGTTTAACATGTGCTTTGGATGTACAGCTAAATAGGAGTAGCTTAAAAATTCTTTCTTCAAGTATTCCTGTTAGCAATGAAAAGAAACCTCATTCCTAAATATTTGCTTTTCTTTTCCACTGACCCTTGTTTGTGATATCATATGTAACCTGAACTACACAGAGTGACTCTTTTCATAGTTCAGAATATGTTTGTATACTTCAATAAATTTGCTCATTGCATAGTGAACTTGTAAACTCAGAAGGATTCTATAAATATTACCCTAATAATCTAAAGAAGTTGCTGAAATTTTACATAATAATGTATTCTGAGGTTTATTTTTGTTGTAATTTGGGTTTGCTATTTTATTTTTATACATGTGTCAACCAAATACGATAAATGAAAACAAGCTATAAAAAGCTAAAAACCCAAGAAAATAATTTTACCTCATTCTATCATTTGGATAACTTCCTGGGCATAACAAGTTGCAAGTGCTCTGTGCTGCCTCTTTAAGACTGTTCAAAATTAATTCCAACAGCGTGTGTTTAACATAAAGTTAACTATGTTTGCATCAAACAAAATGTTTATTAATGAAAGCTATTTATCATACAGGAAACAGCAAAGATAAGTCATTGTTACAGAGATGTACACTAGAGGTGACAGATGCAAAAGTGCATGCAGAGTCTTCTGTTTAGAAAGGAAGTAATAAACAATAACACTAAAATTACTGGGTTTAATCCCTATATTCTTAAATGAGTGAAAGTTTGTCTTTGAATTTACACTTGGAAAATGCCATTAACAGGTAGGACTAAAACACATTAGCAAGCAGGTGAAATGGATATTTGGGGGCTTTATTTTACAACTATTGTGCTTGACAAATGTGTAGGATTGTTTTCAATAATAATTTTCTCCAAATGAGGGGAGGGCGTATTACTGCTGGGTTGCTCTGGTTTATACATGAGTTATCTCCTTCGTTTGTTAAACCACATAATTTTAAGCCTCCGTTTATGTTAGACATCATAAAGAACAGAAGTTTACTTAACATTCAATAAATGACATTTAAGTCTCACTCTCTCTCTCTCTCTTTTTGGCTCAATAAACTTTAAATGTATGGTTATCATGACCTAATAGTGTCTTTGTCTTCACTGCAGTGGATTTCCGATCAAACTTTTCCCCTTCTTTTAATACTTTAGGGAATTTTCAAACGTCGGGATGTTTGGCTGTAATGCCCCAAGATTTGTTCTCCCTGAAAAAAATCATAGTGACAATTTATTAACTACAGAGCAACTTGGCTTTTAGGGGTCTGCAATTTCTATTTAGATTTACAAATATCCACTTGTGCTCAATAGCTCTAATATTAAATCTTAATCATATTATTTAAGATTTCTTTTCATGCAACTACTAATCTACTAATTTATTTTTTATTCTAAAAATTGAACTGAGTCAAATCAGTGGGGCATTGCTTTTGTTTATAAGCAAATAAATTTAAAGGTAATTCAAGATTGAATCACATTGCATATGCAATGGTGTGTGCATTTAATATGAATCATAAGTTTAGAAATCTAAGGGTGATTTGTATGTTTGAATTTTTTAATTGCACTACTGTTTTATAGCATTTACACAACAATACCGAAAGCACCCTAATACAAGTCAAACTTAAGTAAAACTGATGGGAAATAAAACTCCTTAGATTCAAAATGGTTTATTCACACAAATTTAATAGGATATATCACAATTGTTTGGTCCATAAATATTTAGGGGAAATAGTTTCTATACAATGCATTTATCAATAAACAAAGGAACATGGACAATTTTGCTAGACCACTTACTGTACTATAAACACGAAGCTCAATATATAAGATTATTGAATTTATCAACTATATTTGAAAGAGTGCACAACTGCTTTCTATGACATGTTTGTCCCCTCTAACAGGATACACCATAAAAAGAGTTTCAGAAATAAGAGGTAAAACAGTACAAAACTAGTGAGGTGTCAAAAGGGCTTAAAACAGTTAATTTAACAAACAACACATATATCCTGATTTTTCACAAGCTTACTTCCAAGTTATATCATAAGGCACATAGGAGAACTGAGTTATAGATTAGTCTACTTAATAAAGTAGATCTATAGTACCATATATTGTTCTGTCAAAGAACAAAATTTATGTGTCAATATTTTACCTGTAAAAGTGTGTTAATAAGATCTCAGCCTTATCAAGGTTGTTTGGTCTGGTTAGTGGTAAATGCCCAAAATGTAATAGAAATACGAAAAGTCAAGATTTAAGCTCCATAGAAGATGACCACACTTGCTAAATATATAATGGCGATCACACCTTTCTTCTGTTACAGTGTTAACTTATCTTCCATCATCTTTTTTTAAAAAATAAGCTACTTTCTGTGCTAATTTTCTAAAGACCCTGAGCAAAAGTTACAATAATGCACTTTAATGTGGGCAGTGAACTGTCAATATGTAACCACACATTTATACAGCCAGAAGGACACCTTTAATATCTATTAAATAGCCACTTAGACCACCAGAGGAGATTTAAGGGGTCCAAAAATGTGGACAATATGTGCAAAGTTATTCTTAACAATCCACTAAAGCAAGACATAGATCTTGACTTCTTTTTTAATTAATTTTTTTTAGGAAATCCACAATCTAATTGGTATTTAACTACAACAGAAGCATATAGATGAACATTCACCACTGCCCAGACCATTAAGATTTTACCTTAAATTAAAAGGAAAAAAAAAATGCTACTGTAAACTAGGAAATATATTCAGATCAGCATCCACAAGGCTTCTGAGTTTATCTACTTGACTCATAACTTCACATCTGTCGTGTTAAAAAGGTTTTTGTATATATAAATCAACCTGTGCCAAATAAAATAAGGAAAAACCAAAGAATTCTTATTGTTGATATTAGTTTGCTAAATTGTTTTTAAAAAAAAAAAAAACAAAAGACATTATTCATATGGAACACCAGATACAATATCATGGTACAGCTGAAGCCAATTAATAGACCTATTAATTAAATTATACCGATATTTTTACTTCTTAAAAAATTATATTTTGCTTATTTCCATTTTCTCTAGGAGAAAAAAAAAAGGTAAGGTAGAAAGAATAGTCTCAGAAGTTGTTTTTGTTGTTTTTTTAGGTTTTAGGAGGTCAGAAGTATCAAATTTCAATTTCTATGTGTAATTTTCATGGGTACACAGGGAGTTTAAGTATATATATATGTGTATATATATTTTTTTTTCTTTAATTTTGAAAAACAACAAAGTAAAAAGTTTGCGGGCTTGTACAGCCCTAACAGCAGGATAAGTTACATTTCTGGGTTAGACCTCCCATCCAATTAATCATTACTATTTAAAATTTATATTAATGTTTTGTTTAATCATATTCCTCATTTGAATTTATACTTCAGGTAAAAACAGTAATGCTTGATACGTTTTTTTCAGTTTTAAATTTTTAGTATGAAGATTTCAAATTGTAAGGTTTTACAAGTAACTAATTAACTGGTTCTTTGAAAACCTGACCGCAGAAGCAGGAATATGATTATTTACCCATCATAATACCATTCATTTTTTTTTTCCCTCCGAGATTCTGGAAATAAGTAACATACAATTTTAAGAGGCACTTATTTGAATGATTCAAAAACTCCCCTTACCGACTGAAAGACCTAATTAAGGAAAGAAAAAAAATCGAAATACACATTGGTAGACAAAATATGTTCACTTAAAAGAGACAATACTGTCAACTCATTCGCCAAGTGGTTGCGGATGCTACGCACCAAGCTGATATTTTCATTTCCCAAATATCTTGTGGGTAAGAAGAAAAAAAAAAAAGGTCTTGTAAATAATAAAATAATAATATTAGAATAATAATAAAAAGAGGAAGAATTGAATTAAAAAAAAAAAAAACCAATGTTAGAAAAGGTTCGTTAAGGTAGTTTGTGAGGGGCTTCCGGATTCGTGGCTGTCCATGTTAGAGGTCACAGATGTCACTACAGTGATAGTGGGATTGGTCAGGTCTGTTAAAGTGGTCGCAGTGCCGGGTGGAGTGAGAGCGCCGCTGTCTGCTGAGGGCGGGGCCGGAAGCGACGTGCCGTCAGCTTTATCAACACCCCCATTCTCCTGCCGCAAAAGGTTCCTTCTGAATTTGGCTCGTGCGTTTTGGAACCAAACCTGCAAACCAATCCCAATTGATTTCTTTATCGATTTTTTTTAAGTTTTTTTTTCTCTCTTCTTTTTTTTCTTTTTTCTTTCTTTTTTACTTTATTCCTTTTTCTTTCTTTGCTCTATTTCTCCTTTTAAATATAATTCTCTTGGGAAAAAAACAGGCTTTTTTTTCTCCTTTCAAACTAGACTAACAAGTAGTAGTAGCATAGATGTATTCTCTCTCAACTGTACGTATTCCTACATTAAAAGTGTCACTTGGAATAACTGGTGCTGTGTGTAGATACCATGATACAAAAGCACAGAGATTAAGGGGGGAAATGCACCATCCTTCAAATTTTGTCTCTTCAGAATAGGGAAAAACAGGGTCACTAAAAGCAATTTAAAGTAGGAACCACTCCTGTGACCGGAATAGACCGAGAGTTTAAAGTGGTGGTCCTCTCACTCCTGGCAAGCACTCTTCAGACAGGAAAACTTCCGGAGCTACAGACACCCAAACAGCTAGAGACTAGGTATCAGAGCAGAAAATGGCTGCTGCTTGTCACGACCCAGTGGGAGATCACAGGTCACTCACAGTAACCCATTATAATTTTATAATTCTTACCATAACTTTAGGGAAGCAGTTCGACAGCAAGAAAAACTCCTGGGTTTTAGTTATGGCTTGATAAACATGGAAAAATCCTCGTTCCAACTGCTTGCTGAGACACTATTCATTTGACTGTTCAGGAGCTAAGGGGGCAGGTGCCTGAATCTGGAAGTTTGCAAGCTTGCATGGGTTCACAAAAGTTTGCTGAGATGGGTCAAGAGATACTCAGAAACTATTGCACTGAACCCAACACAAATGAAAATCTCTAGAGGCAAACTTGGGTGACATCACTGCCATTTTATTCAGCAATGAGGCTTTGGACCATCTCTCCATCTGCAGAGAGAATGTGACTACTTTAAAAGACCCTGGATCCCTCTTCGAGTACCTTCCAAGAAGCCCCTGTAGGGAGATAACTAAGGCAAACTACTAGGAAGCAGAATAGGAAACATCCATACCAAGGTGATCAGGGAAAAGATCTAGATGTTGGCAAGGGGAAGGGAGGAGATGCACACACAGCCAACAATGGACGTGCCTTACCTGCAAAACTCTTTTGGTCAGGCCTGTTTTTTGAGCAAGCTGCTTGAGGTCCTTTGCATCAGGGTTGTGGTTGATTGCAAAGTAGGATTTCATGGTCCGGAGCTGGTGGTGCTTGAAGGAGGTGCGCATGCGCTTGGTCTTCTGTGAGGGTGGGTAAGGCTGCTGGTCCCGGTCCAAGTGGTCTGCATCATTCTCATTACAACCTGTGTTACAACAATGAACAGACATGCTCAGTGGAAACTTCTGCAGTGGCTTACATGATACGGATGTATGATACTGCTGACATAATAAACCCAAAGGCTGCCAACCCAGCTGTGAACACGATCTAGACAAGAAGACAGTTGCTGAGGTCAGCTAACCCAGTCCATTTGGATACAATTGGTTTGCATAATAGAAAATATTAGGTAAAGCCTTTCCTTTGCTTGATTTTTGGTAGAAGACCTTGGCAAAACGAGTAAACCCTAAACAGAAGGTGAGAGTGGCCTCCAAATGAGAAAGGAAGAAACTCTTTTTATAATGTTTATAATGTGCATCTGCATCCTGGTGCCCATGTTCACAGGTTTTTGAAGCTCGACTTTTGTCAATGCTTCTGAATTGCATATACTGTCCCAAGGCACTACTTTTTATCATGATGGATATAGCAAACAAGCATTTCAGATCTCAAGTTTCAAGTTCTTTGAGAGGCCCCTTCTCCAACTGAGGAATAATCTAAATCACTTCCCATTTTTAGCATTGTCTTATATTCCTGAAGCTTTCTCAACCAGGAAAAAGAAAGAGGTTGGAAAAGGAGGAGACATCAGGAAACTTCAAATTTCTTGAGGAATTGTAAGAGCATTACATTTGAGAGTTTTAGCTACAGCTGGTTAACTTGGGCTATATCAGGGGAGAAAATGCTTTTCTCTTGGAGCTATTCTAATAAATATTTCTGAAAGAAAATGAGCCCAGCCTTCTTATTTGTTCATGCCTGAAGCACTGCCCATAGCTCACTGCTGAGACATATGGCTGATTTATTTCCAGCTCAGAATTTGGCTCCTCTGCTCTGGATGTGTGTGAGTCAGATGTGAATTGTGCCACCGACTGACCTGGCAGAAAGAGGGCAGCATCTTCTCTGCTCTTGCAAAACCCTCCTGGGCACCAAGGGCAAAAGCAGTCAGACTTTAAAATCAGCAAAAAAGGTTCTCATCCTCAGAATGTAAAGGTTCACATTCTAAAGGGCCATTTCCTGGCTCTGCACAAGAAATATGACTACAGACTGAAAAGATTTGACTATGTATGTACTGACCTTTGCAAATCAAATTCAAGGGCATAGGTATTTTTTCTTTAAACTCTTATTTCATGTTTATCTAATGTATATTCATATCTGACCATCCTGTGCCTCAGTGCATTATTTAAAATCAACATGATCATATCATTCATCGTGAAAAACTTCAACCCTGAAGAAAGTGAGACCTCTCTTAATATTACTTTTCTCATTCTGCTTTTTAAAATGTTATCTGCCTGCTATGCTCTGCTTAGAATTACTTTCAAAATTATCTAGCAATGGGGTTGGTGAGATGACTCAGTGATTTAAGAGCACTGACTGTTCTTGCAGAAGACCTGGGTTTGAATCTCAGCACCCACATGGTAGCTAACAACCATTCATAACTCCAGTTCCAGAAGATCTGACGCCCTCTTCTGTCTTCCATGGGCACTGCACCACACAGGTGTACTTACATACATGCAGCATAACACTTATACACATAAAACAAAATAAATAAATAAAAATCTAGCATATACATATATATGTTCAGCAAATCAGTATATCTGTAGAAGTTTTACAGTCATCACTGTAAATCTGCCTCATACAAAACTCATTTAACAATAAATTCCTCCAAATATAATAAAATGAATTATGAACTAATATCTCCCTGTGTCCTAAGACATATAAGTGGGAAATCATACTTGGCAAAAGAGCAGATGGCAGGTGAATTTTCTGAGGGAAAGGACTGTATCCTATTCACCCTTTGATTTCCTAAGTCATATACAAGGCCAGGAACTCAACAAGCATGATTTTCAGCCTTTTGTTCAAGAAAATTACAAGGAAGCATTAATACAAAATCAAATGAACTTGAATTGGCATCCAAGTCACATATGTGCCATCAAACGTTGAGCATGAACTTCTTGGGTCGACCAGAATGGCAACGTGTACCCAGAGACAAGAGAAAGAATATATTTTACATGATATCCTATTTCATCCCAGTGGGGATATGTCAACTTCAAATAGTCTACAGAATTGCACTTTCGTGTCCTCAAATGGATGAAACAGCATCTCATGACCTACTATAAAACTACACTTATCTCCAGTAAACTGAGTCATATTTCACAGCTGGATTAGAAATGTACCCACAGCAAAATGGTCAAAGAGGCGCATGCCAGGCTCTGGGGGCTTCTTCAAATGAGACTGCATTCATTTCATATGTGAGCAGCTTTTCCTGAATTCATCAATTGAATATTACACTTGGGACAAAAGCCTTAACTCGATGTTTAAATGATGTCCTTATCCCACCACTCCCAGGGCAATATCCTTAGAAATGAATATGACTCCTAACTTAGCTATATAACTATTCATCATTTGAAATGAATTTTAGGAAAAAAAATCATTGAAGTAAGATTTGATGAAATTGTTTCTGTAGCTACATACTCTTTCAGAACTCAGCCTACCATTTTAGTGCATTAGATAGAATTATTGGGCTTATTTCCACATGAAGTTTATAACCCAGTGTGTAAGAACATAGGTATCAGGTCTTTCTTATGATATATGATTTCCATGTAGCTATGTTTGCATTTATATGATTCAACTTGACAGAGAAATCTGTTTTCTTCCACAGTTTAAGGTAGTTTATTATCTTAAATACTGTGTTTAATGGCAAATGTATTACATAAATGATGTGTTTCTTCACCATTTATTTCTAAGCTTGAGGGTTTTCCCCCCTAAATTATAAGAACAAATAACTTGAAATTGTTTCAAACTTCCACCCGTAAGTACACATCTGTTGCTATTGAAGTTAATAAGATCTAAATGTTTTATTTTTCAGTCTCCTATGCAATGGTCACCTATATAAACTGAGTTTCTAATCCAAAAGGTTTCAAACCTTTTCAGAATTAACTGATTCCTGTGAGACCACTAGGGGTCAGTGCCAGGCTAATTTGACAGCTAGAAATCTGAAAGTTTCAATAGAAAGAACCTAAAGAAAGAGATTTTAAGAAGTTGTAAAACTCCAGTCTCTTAATGAATGCTAAATTATCCAAATAGAACCTGTCTACTCGAGACTAAATCTTCTCGTTTCTGGAGAGCTTTATTTCAATCCAGCATTCAGATAAACTTTCTATGTCTTTCAAATAAATCTACCTGATTATTTTGATTAACCTGTGCAAAAAGGAATAAACTAAATTAAGAATACTCTCACTGAAATACATTTAGCCTGTGACAAACAGTAACTGACCTCTGCCAAGTTTCACATGTTCTCTGAAAGTCTTTAAATCATAAGCATGTTTTGTGTGTATGTTTTGTGTGCATGTTTTTGAAAACATCATTGTGTAAGTTGGTTTGGATCATATTAATACTACTCTATAAGATTACTTTTCAAGAGAAATGGTAACAGCAAATCCAAAGAGGGCTAAAATAATACAAGTTTAAATTGTAGGTGCATTTTATGTTCTACATTTTAACATATTTTTAACTTGCTGAGATTTACTTTTTCCCAGATTGTGCAACAAGCTGACATTAAAATCATAAACACTTTTTGTAAAGCTCCCCCCCCCCACACACACACCTGATTCTTTTGTTAGATTACTTTAAACCAATTCCTCTAGACTACCTTAACCCTAAAGAAATATACACTCTTTACTTGTTCCTCTGGGGAAAGTCTAAAAAAGATGGAGTAGATGTTAAGAAACTGTAGTGTAATAACTAGTGTCTCAGGTTAGAGCAGGCTCAGCAACTTTTCTATTTCATGAACAGGACAACTTTCTCAACAACTGTCAGCAGCTTTAATGTGCAAATTTAAGATCCAAGCAGCTTTTTTTGTACCCTATTTCTCTTAGAAAAGTAAAAAGTAAGAGATGCTAAATTCTATTACTCTGAAAGCTCCTTGGATCTGCCTGACATAAAGTAAGATCCAAGGCAAAACCAAATTTAGCTGATTAAATTAAATAAAACAAGGGAAAATCCAGGCTCGCCTCCAGTTTGACCAGAAATCTCCACTCCTCTGGATTTCATTGGGAAGCAAACATCATTCTTTCTCTGCAAAGGACTGTATAACTTGAGCATGAGTCCCCCCAACCCCCAATTAGGACTTTAAGGTCTTGGTGAGTGGCTCAAGATTCCAGTGTCATCTTCTATTACTAAAGAACAATTAATGTGCTGCCTGCTCTGCCCTGGGGACCACGCATCAGAGAAGATGGCCCCTTAGCAAAGCCACGCCAAAACTCAGCAGGGGCTTGGGCCAAGCACCTGAGGCAAGAAGCCCCAGAAGCCACTGCCCCAGGTTGGCAAACCCAGAGACTGAGCAATCTGCCCCCCAGACCCGTCCCTTGTCCTCTTGAAACCCCCTGGCCCTTTTCCTTTGGTTCAGCAACTGCACCCAAATGTGAACCTACTAAGGACACATGAGACCTCCTAGTACCAAGTCCCATTTCTCCATGAGATGCCTCCATGTACCTGGCTAGAATGGATTCTTCCTCTAAGTTAGGAAGAGAATCCCTGGGAAGAGTATAGTACAGGGCTTGGGGGGGGGTGCCTCCTCATTCTACCTACCTCCCCAGAAAACTAAGGACTCTGAGCAGGACTCTCCATTGAGACCTTCACCCTGGCTGTGATCTTGGGCAGATCACTTAACTGGATGGATACTGTTGCTTTATCATTGACCTACTAGTTATACCAGAAAAAGTATACAGGAGAATGATCTAGGAGTGCTGAGAGCCACACTTAGCCTGTATGTCCCTTCCAGTAGAAAGGACTTTTACATGAGTCTCTTGCTTGCTGAGTTCCCAGATAGTTCCAGACCAGGGCATGAGAAGTCAGAGCAATCAAGCTCCTTAGGCTCCCCAAAATTGTGGCAAAGAATTAGCCCCAGAATGAGCTTATATTTTCTTCCCCCAAATTAGCTTGTGCTTTCTGGAACCCCCTTTCCCTGGGGACTCACCAGGAGAGCTTCTGCTCTGAGTAAGAGCTCAGGACTTAAGGATCCTGGAGGACAGGAGGTGGGGACAGGCCACCAACCATAAGAAATTGATGCATGAATGGGATGCAGATTGATAATGAGTGTTCAAAGCAAGGCTGGCAAAGGAAGACTGGCAAAGGGCCTGAGACAGCCATTCGCCTCTTCAGTGAGCCTGACCTTGCAATGGCTCTGCTTGTCTAAGTCTGGATGATCTGATCGTCTATCTGAGGAAGCTGGGCAATGCCCTGACCCACACCAGAGGCATGGCTGGCTCCCGTGTGGAGATTGAGTCTCAGTCCACAGCGGCTCTTTGCCAGGATTAGGGATTCAGTTTTTCAATACTCTTGCCAACTGTGTTGCTGATTAACTTCAGGCTGGTGACCACAGCCTCTTCCCCCTCTAGACAGAGTGGGGTTGGGCTCTGAAGTCTTTCTTTGCCCCCATTAAGTATTTAGGAAAACCTCCTCCAGGATCTATAATTTGGCTCTGACAAAGGAATTGCCCTGGGGCTGTTTGCTCCAACTGGGAGCCAGAAACTAATGGGCTCATTAACTAATGGGCAACAAGGATTTGGCTTTGCCTGTTTGAGGGAAGTCACTCCAGCCCCATGGTTATAAATGTGTTTCTTTGCCACAAGCTCAATAATGTGTGTTCTCTCGGGTCCCTCTCCTTTACTTCCTCCTCTTCCTCTCTTTCTCTTCCTCAGACTGAGAAGGGGTTGTGGTAAGAAAGCAGGGTCCTGTTAGGCAAAGCGCTGTCTGGCAACTGGATCTTGGAGCAGAACTGGCGCTACCAATTCAGGGAAGGACAGACCTGCCAAGGTGGGATAAGGAGAGGCGCCCACCTGAGTTGTAATTGACGATGTCCACTCCCAGAGCTGGGCTTTTCCGCTTCCGGGGCCGCCCCTTCTGCACCGTGCCAGTGCCATTGAAGTAAGGTAAGGCCAAGCCTCCGCTCTTGGCCGCCAGCTCCGTGTAGCTCAGCTGCGGTGGATACTCTCCTTGCAAGAGGGTCTCGAAGTGGGCCCGGCAGTACACCAGGCTGTCCTTCATGCCGAAATGGTCGCCGGTGGTCAAAGTCTTGTTGCAGGTGGAGCAGGTGAAACAGCTCAGGTGATAGACCGAGTCTCGGGCACGCATGACCATCTCAGAGGCAGAAATGCCAAGGTGGCAGCGGGCACATCTCTGCACAGAGAACCTTCTGGAAACAAACAGAAGGGTCAGGGCACTGGCTAATGGAAGGAGGAACTATCTCCCATTTGCAGTACCTGTGCTTGGTTGGTAGTGGTCAGAGACTTAGACTTGGGGTTGCTCCAGTATCACAAAGACACTTGGGTCACTTTAGACAACAGTTTTATTTGCTCAGTGACCTGTTCTGGTTCTGAGTAACAACAGCAAATCCTTATATTAAAGTCAAAAGAGCAGAACTAAGCTTTAATGTTTTTGTTTTGTTTTGTTTTGTCTGTTTTTGAAACAAGGTCTCCCTTTAGCCCTAGCTGGCCTGGAATTGGCTATGCAGACCAGGCTAGCCTGGTTTCAAAGTTTGTTTGTTTGTTTAAATAAATAAAACCCTGAAGTGCCTAATTCACAGCACTATAATGCCAAAGGAACAGCTTCGTCTTAGTGGTTGACAAAATATTGTATGAGTGAAGGAAAGTACTACTACTCTTTCAAGGATTCCTGTATCTGAAAACCTAGACAACCCCAGAAAATGGCAGTTTTAAGCGTTTCTGCTTCTGTTTAGAGGGACGCTAGGTCACTTGTAAGAGCTCTGTCCTTCCCAACCCAGAGACTTAGGAAGACTCAGTAAACCACCACGGGTGAGCATTTCTCTTTAGTCTAGATCTGACTAGTCAAACTGGAAACTTGGAACTAGATGACTTGGGTTTTGCAGTGACTGTATTCCTTCTTCATGGTCATTCACAAGATCACTTGAAGCATTCACTTGGTTGCTGCTGTCCAGGCCACCAGTGGGGAAGTTGCCCAAATTCATATAAAGCAGGGGCAAAAAAAAAAAAAACCAAAAAATTGCTAGCCCTGTTCACCAGAGAGCTCTCCATTTACTCCTCCCCAAATTTCTCCCACGGGGCTGATAAAACACAACCCCTCGTTTGTGCCTCTCCCATAGGTCCTCACCGACCTACGGGAGGGCATGCTTAGCTTACAATGTCAAGGCACATACAGTGAATTTCCCTAGGCACATATAGTGAATTTCTCCAGTCTCTCGGAAATAACTGTACCCTGAACCAGCAAAAACCCGGGGACAGAGAAGCAACTCCCGACTCCGGCAGGTGGCTCCAGCAGGCGTAGGGTCAGAGGAAGTGTGGTAGGGGAAGTACCTGTAGTAATCCTCCTTGCAGTAAATGCTACCGTCCTTGGCAAAGCAGGTGAGCTCAGACTCCAGGGCCAGCTTACATTCACAGCACTTCAGGCACCTCAAGTGCCACTGTTTGTCCACGGCCAGCAGATAGTACCTGTCGGAGATCTTGCCGCCGCAGCCGGCGCACAGAGCGGGCTTTTCTGGGCTGAGCGGGGGCATGCCCTGCAAAGGAAGCACACGGGGAATCTAAGGAGAGCTGGGGGCATCGCGGCACAATCCAGGATTCCGGACAGGCAGCGGGAGTCCCCCGCACACAGGAGAACGCTGTGAAGTTCGGGGCCACAGCACACAAAACCAAAGATCCAGAAAACATTTGCAATTTCTTCTTTCACGACTGACTCGCTCGTTTTCTTAGGATTTGTCTGAACCCACATCCCCGTCCCCCTGGTCTATGAACCTAAAATCTTCTAACCATTTGAAGCCTGGCTTAGAAAGGACTGAAAGCCCACCAACTAGCTCGATGGGAGTTTCAGAATTAGAATAAGTAAGTCTTAAAACAGTAACTTTCAAAAAATTCACAAAATAAAACAACAGAAATTATTATTGAGAAGTAGATAAAATTTTGAATAAGGTGTTTGTTTTTACACCAACATTTCTATTTTTCTAAATTTATGGAGACAGTGTAATTTGGCCAGGATTGTTGTGATCCGGACCTATTTAGCAGATCCTGCTGTTCCTAAGTTTCAAGGTCCTGGACCAGTTCCTGGGAGGGAAGTGGCTGAGCTGGGGGAAGGACCACTATCCGATCCTCGGTCGGTGGACTCCCTCTTTGCTCTGGCAACAGCATAAACAGCACGGACCATTCTCTTGAAAAACTAATACCCAAGTTTCAGTTTTCTCTTGAAAAACTGATACCCTAGTTTTCCACCTAGATCCCAAATGAAACTAACTAGGGCGGTAAAATTCACTTTAGGGACGCCAGCTTGGGTTTGGTTGCTGCTTTTAATTCTTAAATATGATAACCACGAAAGATTAAAAGAAGTTGATCACTGGACCTTTCCCTCAGACTAGCAGAAAGAGACTGGGCTTTTTCCACAGCAGTTTGGCGATTTGGAAAGCTTAAGTTTCGCCCTTTCACTCAGATCCTGGGTCCTTATTAGGTCAGTGATGCAAATGGCGTGGCATCCGCCTACTTGGCTATTAGGCGCGCCCCAAAACACCGCTGACCGGCTGGAGCGGTCTCACGAGGATCTATCTGCACAGCACTGTTCTCTCGGAATCATTCCCCGAGACTTGTGTAATTTTCTCCCTCCAGTCCGTAAGTGGGAAGGGGACTCACTTGGTTTACTAATATTTTTAAGACGAATAACTATTATGGATAATAACACAGAGGTCCTTGTTTCTTTTAAGGGTTAGGGAGTTCTTGGTCTAGCTTTTGGCCTAGGGGGCCTTTCCTTCGCCTTTTTATTCGATCTCCCACTACACTTGCCACCCGCCAGGTACAGAAGCGAAATGCAATTTTGTGTCTGCTGAGAAACTGAGCCCTGAGGCCAGACACTGACAATCTTTGGTTTGTGGGTTTAGGGTGTGGAGCTCCAGTGTTCAAAGAATTGGAAAAGATCAGTCGCGTCGGAGTCTACTCTAAAGGTCTGGTCTTGGATCTGAGAGACTGGGGTCCCCGGTTCAAGCGTGTCTGGGTCGCCGCGGTGGCGAACGGACCCCTGGTACCTGCAGCACCGCTAGCCCTCGCTGCTGAGGACCTGGCCCGGCAGCGCCGGAGAGTCGGGGGAGAGGAGTTTGGGGATTACAGGGAGTATCCCCGCTCCGCACGCGCGGCTGCCAGCCTGCTCCGAGGATAGCGAGCTCGGGGTCGCCGGACCTAGTCGCAAACCGAGCCTTTGCCTTAGCCCTGTAGACCTCAGGGGACGCCAGAAACGCAGCGATCGTCCCCCCAGCAAATGTCCCGGAGACCCGCCGCCCCCCAGCCTCCGAGGACCATCGACCCGCAGTTTCCCGCAGCGTAGAACTGGGCCCTTCCTTACCGCCTCCCGGCCGTTGAGCTGAGCGCCTTTGGCCAGACGGGCCTCGGTTTTGGATCTGCGCTCCATCTCCTCCATGATGCCTTGGATGTGGCCTCCGGAGATCCCGTGGAAGAGCATGGCTGGGGGGCGGAAAGGACACGAATTGTCTTCGGCTCGGCACCCCACTATTTCCATAAACACACGCCGGGGGCTCTCAGTGCATCCGAGGGAAGGAGCAAATTGGACCGCAGAGGATTGCGCGGGGGAGCAGCGCACAGACGCGTGGGGACAGGGGGTTAAGAGAGAAAAGAAAGGGGCAGATACAATAGAAATAGATCTACTCGGAAGGGAAAAGACCCGGGGAAAATAGGCAATGAAAGAAAAATAAAATAAAAAAGCTCCCGCGGTTCCCTGAAGGAGATGTGCAGAAAACAAACAAACGTGGACAGAGGGGAAAGCAGGCGAATCTTACGGCTCTGAGAGATCAAATTACTAATGGGAAACAACTGCCGCGGGGGTAGGAAAACAAAATCTGGGGAAGAAAGAAAATAGTTTTGAACACAAAGAAAGAAAACGAAGTGCTATTTTCAGCGGTCCCTGGCTGCCTGCAAGTTCCCAGTGCTTGTAGGTTGGGTTGGGGACTGCTGCTTGCCGGAGCTGAGTCCAATTTGTTAAGAGACTAAAGCCAGCCCATTTTTGATAATTTAGTAGGAGGAGTTCTCTCCCCAGAGCTGCCACGGATTTTTATTCAGACAACAAAGACCTGTCATACTCCTCTCAACCCCCTGGTGATGGGCAAGCGGGGACAAACATTATCAAGGGGTGGGGGCTGGGGGAGGCAGAAGGAGAGGGCATTTACAGCCCTCCCCCTCACGCGCCTACACACACACACACACACACACACACACACACACACACACACACACGAGCACACGTCCTTCCAAGAGTTCTCAGCAGTCCGGTTTTAAAGGGGTAAAGGAGCCCTTATGGTCGCTGTCCGGGCTCAGGAGGCATAGACGGCCTATTTGATCCCAGTTCAAGATCAGACCCCGCCCTGGGTGCGCAGAGTATCAACTCCAAGCCCTGATTTCCTCCTTGCCCACAGACTTTTTTTAAATCCTCAGTTTTCAGGGCTATCACCCAAAGAGTGGGCAGACATTCAAATACTTTTCGAAAATGGAGTTTTTAACGCGTGTTGCTTTCCTCCCCTTTCCTTTTTCCTCAACTCTCTAAAAGCAGTCTCGGGCAGTTCCTTCCTTAGCCTTACCTCCTTAAGGGCGAGAGGCTCTACCAGGCACTGAGGTGTTTCCCAAAGTGAAAAGAGGCGTGAAGAACTACTTTTCTGTGGCTTGCTTTTGAAAATAAAGATGCTCTTTGAAAAGCTGGCGTGTAGAGGCCAGGGCGTGGTCTCGTAGACCTGGGTATTCAACTGAACCTTGACCCTCGGTTACTTATTCTTTTACTCAGTTCTAGTTTGAAGGTGAACTGGAGAGTGTAGTGTTCCGTTTAGAACTTGGGCAGCGACTCAAGGACTCGAGTGAGCGCGGCGGCACCAGACCAGGAGGACCAGGCGTCAGCCACTTTCAGGAGGATGTGAAAGGGGCTCGAGGTGGAGGCCCGGAGGTGAGAACTGACAGGATGGCAGGCTGCTCTTCCTAAGAGCCAGAATTGTTCGTTAGGTCGCCCTCCGTCCATGTTCGTCCGGCGCTGCCCCTCCCACAGGTCTCATTAAAGGGTCCACAATATTCAGATACTGTAGATTCATTGAAACGGCCAGAAACCTACTAGGATCTTGGAGCGCGGAGCGGAACGGACTGAAGCTTAACCCGAGAGAATAAAGCCTGACGCTCTCCTATGGTTCTGGTTGCCAGCCTGTTTCCCCAGCGCTCCCGGCCACCTCCCGGGGAACTTGGGGCTTCTGTCTGGCCACACCACAGATAGACCAGAGCAGCCAGGCCGCAGGCCCGCCTCCCTCCGCCAGGGGAGCCCAGTGTGGAGATGTAGCCTAATCTTGAAAGAAGGGGGAGAATAAATCAGGAAAAGGAGGTAGGGGGAGGAGGGGAATGAAAAGAAAGAATAAAGGAAGCATGGGAATGGAAGGGGGAAGGAAGGAAGGAAGGAAGGAAGGAAGGAAGGAAGGAAGGAAGGAAGGAGAAGGACCCCCACACACACACAACAACCCTGGTGCCGCAGCTTGACTTCCTGTCCCAAAGAATCGCCCTCTGAGGCTCCGGGTCACCTGGGTACAACTCGGGCCTCTACTGCTTCCCCTTCTTTTTTCTCAGGGTCAAAAATAATATTGTTTGCAGACTGGACGCTTTTAAGGTCCTCTGGGTGCCAGAATACAGCTCATAAAACACAATTTCAAACACAAAAATTGAAGCTGCTCAAGTGAACTAAGCTGGAGACAACACACACACACACACACACACACACACACACTTTGGCAGCCCTACCTGACAGCAGGGCGGCTATTTACTGTAAGTAATGTAATTAGCCCCTTTGGATGGAAATCAATGAGCTTTTCAAACCGGTGTGTGCACAAGAAGGGCCCCAAGGAGGGGCTGGGGGCAGGGGCCCTTTCCTAGACAGCAGGTCCTCTCACAAAGGGGCAGATTGCCTCCATACAAGTAAGCAGTTAGACAGACTCAGAGCCCAAAGAGGAGGAGAAAGAGGAGGGCTCTACCCAAAGAACCAGTCAATTAATCCAAGGAGGCTGAAGCACAAAGTAAATACAGGACTGCAGTTCACTTCATTCAGCTCCACCCAAACCCTTCCCCACTCTCTACTAGGGATCTTGGGAACTACATTTGGTTGTTAGATTTTGGTCCTATTTAGCCAGAACAGTAAAAAAGAACCCAAGAACATCATTTTGAAACTTCATGAAGGAAAGCTTAACAAACAACTCTTTTAAAAAGTGATAACTTTTGTCAAGAGTCTCCAGGAACGCCAATCACAGAAGACCTGTACACCTGCAATTAGCCATTCATTCATCTACTTCATCTTTAAATCATCAGGTACAGGCAGGACAGAGCATCTCCTGCTATCAGCTTCCTACTGAAACCTGTCTACAACTGCTTTTACTTATAAAACTCAGGTTATAAGGTCCTGGACCTATAGTGATTGGCCACTTTCATAAAGAAGAGAAGTGCCAGGGTTTTTTCTTGCTCTAAGAATGCAGAAAGTCTTTGGAAAGGTGGGGGGATGGGCGTCTGCTGGAATTTGAGAGTTCTTAGTTCTGGGGGAAATGGTTCTCTATATGCCCAGCCCCATCCTCCTTGAAAAATGAAGCCCTTAAGGAATGGAAGGCTGAAATGGCCTAGGAGTTAGGGACAGGTGCAGATCATAGAGTGTCCTAACCTTTTGTCTAAGAGATTACTGAAGAGCTTGTTTCAGCTTCTTCCTCTTCCCTCTCAAAGGGCATTAAGCACCAGGGTTGCTATGCTCCTTTCACCCTCCCTAGCCCAGGGGCTGAGGCCTAGAGCACAAGAAGTGTTTCTCCTTTTCCTATCTCCCAGCTGAAGGCCTGCAGGTGTTCCATAAAAGTTAGAGCACTTGCATTTTCAGTTGCAGAGGCTAAGACCCCGCCTTCATCAATGGGACAGGTGCATGGTGTGGGAACTGTCTAGCCCACATTCCAATAGGATGTGGCATCTTCTTTCCAAATTCAAAACATTATTAGAAGCAGTGGAGTAAATTTCCGGCCTGGTACAGTCCTCCCTCACAAGTGGGCACAAGCAATCTACTAGGCTCTTTCTTTTTTTGTTCAGTAGGCATCCATCTGGCTATTGTTACAACTTTCAGCAAAGTGGAAGGCTGGATTAAGTGGGAGAGAAGGTTTTAAAGTAAGAGTACAAGACCACAGCTTTTCCACGAAGCTCTAGGAGATTGCAGGGCCATTGTCCAGACTCTAGAAGTCCCACCTGGGAACAGGGCCCTGGCTCAACCCAACTCCTCAGAGGCTAGGAGAGGGAATATAAAGGGGATGCCCTGGGTTGCCCAGGTAGCTGCCAAGGTTTTAGGATCTAGAAAAGAAAAACAATGTAACAAATACTCCATGGGTTAGAGCATCAGAGATTTAAAGTCCCTTTAGACCTTAATTTTGGAGACAATAATCCTACCTATGCCCCAAATTTGACCATGAAAAGGTAGAGTTCTCTTTCTTCAGATCTTAAGAATCCCTTGGGTTGGAAAGGAGCAGCGCTTCAGATCCTGTCTAGGTTTTTAAATTGTTGGCAGCATCCCAAGAACGAGGGGAATTAAGCGGAATCTTGGTGCTAGGAGCCTTATGCCTGGCGGCACCACCCGATCTTGGATGTCCAGGCTGTGCCGCAAGGCTGAGGTATCAAATGATTGGCAAGTCCCCAGGCCTTTCTTTGGACAGCAGAGACAGATCTATGTGCAAACTTTCCCCAAACGAGGCTGGCAGGTTGTCTGCTACTGCTTTCAGGGACACCTCTGTCTCACAAGTAAGGCTTCCTTCAGGACACAAGAGAGGCTTCCGAGATGTGGCTACAGGAGCCAGCCAGGCAGCCACGGAGATAGGACGCGCGACCGCAGTCCAGCTGCCGCACCCTTGTCTGGGGCTCGCTGGGACTCACCGGTCGGGGCCCTGCAGGTCTACGAGTAGTTAGTGCGCACACCCTCAGTGGCCTCAAAGGCCCTTGCCAGCTGCTTCAAACCTATGTCCTCCTTGGATCTTGTTTTTTGTTTTGTTTTGTTTTGTTTGCAACAGGGCTGTGATTGAGAATACCGAGCTTCTGAAACCAGAAGCAGTTTTTACCTAAGGTTTGCTGCTCCACTGACCCGCAGAACCTCCTAAATAAACAGTAAACCCTGCAGAGTTTAGCTGAGATCACGCGCAGAAACCGCTATGGTGCATTAGAGTTGAACAACAACAACAACAACAACAACAACAAAAAAAAAAAAAAGTAGGTAAAGCCAGTTTCCGCTTAAGTCCAGCAAGGTACTTGCAGTAAGATGACACCCCAGCAGCTCTGCCGAGGTCCTACGGCCAGTACTGCCTGAGGCCCAAAGACACCATTACCTCTGGCGGGAGCCCTGACCCTGGACTTTGAGGAAAATCAAAGACATAAAAACTAAATTTTTAAAAAAAAATATCTTAAAAGCCAAACGCAGGCTTTGGGACTTCTGCCTTCCAGGAAACTCTGAGCCAAACTGTTTTTCAACCTCCAAAGCACAACCTAAGACAAATATTCTTTTCCACTGAGTGAAGGCATGCTCATAAGTGTACACACACACATACTCATTTACCCAGCACACACGCGGGTCCAAGAAAAAGCAGCAAGGAAAATACCGAGGAACAGGAGCGGACTCACCTGCCTCTAGAGTGGTGCCGTTCAGCATTCTTACAGAAAGATCGCTCTGTAAAGGCGGTTGCACTGTCAGGAGAAAAGGAAAAAAAGCCTTGCATCAACTGGATACTGCGGCCCGGCTCCCCAGTACCTCGGCCGGATGGTGGGGCCGGTCCCATCCACTGGTCAGCCTGGACTCTGGGACTCCGGGACTCCCTCCGGGACCTATGCGGCTTCCAGTCAAGCTGACCTTTCCTCCCAGTGTCTCCAGAGACATTTCGCGTTCAGAGTTGTCCGCCCACTACAGGGACCACTTATAGGTGACCCCAATGGGATGTTACCTTGATGTCTAGATGTCAGAATTTCCTCTCCAGAATTCGGTTCTTAGCCAGACGGTGCCCAGAGGTGAGGGCCAGTTCCTGTGTCTCACTCTGTTAAATAAATAAACCCTGTGAATGAAAATAATTCTCTCTCTCTCCCTCCCTCCCTCCCCTTCCCTCCCTCCTTCCTTTCCTCCTTTTCTCTCTCTTCCTCTCGCTCCCTCTCTCCTCTCCTTTTTGCAGTATTGGCCTGATCGCTCACCTCTGACCCTCAGCCCCTTCCACCTGTCTTTTATTTTCTATTTATGCTTTCTCAAATCGGAAAAGGGAGGGGGGAGAAATGGGCAGAGGGCTCAGCCGCGAGCCAATGCCCTGACACTGAGGCCACGCTCAGCCCTGCCAGTCTCTCAATAATCCGAGGAGGTGTTAATGGAGGACTTGGCGGTAAGGGAACCTCATAAAGCCGCGAGCATCCTCAAGCCTGGGCGCAGCCGGGGTGGGTGGGGGGCTGGAGCCCTGCGGTGCGCCCTGGGCTCCCGGCCCCCCAGCCAGTCTTTGCCTTGCTGAAGCTGGTACCTAAAAGATGCTGCCGCCAGCTGGTGCCTGCATAGACGGTAAATGGGCGGTAGCTCCTAGGGGAAACTGGCTAAGCTATTGATTGCTCAAGCCATCATCCCCGCCTTCCACTCGGATCCTGCGCTCAGTCTCCATGCTCCTAAGCTGGGCAATGGAAACCCAGCAGGTCCGAGAGCGCTTTGCCCTCCAGGGCGGCATTTGTGACCCCGTCAGCAAGGGAGCCCAAAACATCTGCCCGTCTTGGGCCCTTACTATTGGATGAGGGTTGAGATTAACCTTATAAGGGGAAGCCCAGACTTAAAACATACAGACAAATGATCAAGGGATGCCAGAGACCCGGGACGGGGCGGGGACTGTATTACCTCGTCTCAGCATTCGGTGGGACTGCTTCGCCCTTGGTGCGCTCCAGCCGCCTCCAAGTGGAACAGAATAGGAAGCCAGGCCTTTGGTCAATCATTCACCCTACACCCCACCCAGGGCGCCCCTCGTAGTCAGAGTTCGGAAGGCGAGGGATTAACCTGGGTTCGCTCGCTGGTGGAAAAGGAGGTGTGAGCAGAGAGACTGGCAGCTCCGGAACTCTGGTCCGTGACAGTACCGCCCTCCCCCATCCGCCTTCTCTCCAAACCCAGAGGCCTCGTAGAGGTTCTCTGACTTGGCATGGGCCGAGGGCTGGATGGACCGAGGGCATCTGTGAGCCTCGCAGCCACCAGCGAAAACTATGATTGGGAGCCACCCTTGAGTTGTGCGGGGATGGAAGCCAGCCAGTCGTACAAGCTCGGCACAGTTTGGGGGATGTTAAGGGACAGTCTGGGGGTGAGGAATCCGAGCCCTCTGCGTTTCTCGTTGCACCTCGATTGCCAGAATGTCGCTGGGAGCACGAAGGACTGGGTCCCTTGTTCCACGCGATGGCTAGGTTTCGGGAACTAGTGCCACCAGCAATCAGTTCCATCCCGTTTCCCTTTACTCTTCCCTGGACCCCAACTTCCCCGTCCCATGACGACCTCCCCAGCTCCTTCCACTATCCCCCCATTTTGGCCAGTTTTCACAGCCAAGAGGGGACAAGATTCCCCGGCTTAGCTTTTTCGAAAATCAGCAAAAGGATAGAACCATTTCCACCGGAAAACACTTTATTGTTCTTCCCAAAGCAGCGCCTTTTAACTTCTTTCGGTAATGAAGTATTTCAGGAATATGATAACGATATGCCTTGTATACACAGCTAACACACGCGCACAGACACACTCGCGCGCGCGCGCACGCACACACACACGCACACACACACACACACACACACACACAATGGCGCATGCACCCTGAAGCACACATCTAAATGCACATTTTAGAACACAAATTTCTGGTGGGAGGGTGTTGTAGAAGGATGTAGAAATCCTTCTACATTCTATAATTTCCTGGTTAACATTCTCTTTTATCACCTTAATTCCAAGAAGGAAGGCCCTAAGATCGGATGTTTTGCAAAGCTCAAACTCAAATTGTTTGTGGAGGTAAGGGTTAACCCAGTACCCAAGACACTGGGGGCACCCATCAGGGTATCCTATTCTAGGGACAGACCAATCTCTGGTTAAACATATCTGTGGATTCTCCCACAACATTTTCCCAGAAATCAGAGTCCTAAGAGGCCCTCAAAACCACACCCTTCCTCAGCACACACACACACACACACACACACAGACACACACACACACACAGAAAACCTGTTTTTTTGTTTTTGTTTTTTTCCTGAGAGGATGTCGTTAGAACTTTGTGTGCCAAACACACACACACACACACACACACACACACACACACACACACAGAAAACCTGTTTTTTTTTGTTTTTTTTTTTTTCCTGAGAGGATGTCGTTAGAACTTTGTGTGCCCAAGAGACTTTGCAAATGCCTTTGGAGAGAAGTACTGTGATGAAGGAAAGACCTTTGGTAGAGCCAGAGAGAACTTTGGGACCTCATCAAGTACAAGGGGGCACCTTATTTGGGAGCTTCAAATTTACTTGAAAAGATAAAAACATTTCTCTTCTTGCTCTGCATAATCAGTAGGGAGAGTTCAGCTCTTGGAGAGAGGGGAGTATGTATCACCATCCACCTGCTGGGAAGGACTTCTTCCCAGCTGCCTTAGAAATCCATCTCCACCCCCACTATGGTAACCCATTTCCATTGGCTCCTTCTGTGTTAGAAACACCCTAAAAAACAATCTCCCTTGATTTATTGAGCCCTGGGGCAGAAGGAGTTTCCAGAAGCCTTGAGAGTGGAGCAACACCAGAATTGATTTAAATCAGGATGTTGCTACTTCTGGGCATCCACATGTGTTTGTATATACACACCTAATAAGAAACCAAAGTTTTTACTTTACAATGTGTGAATACAATATAGCTTAAACCTCTAACAGGGAAGTCCATTTATGTGGTCATATTGTGTTTACTGTGGGAGCACCCACCCTGCTGCCACCCAGTGCAGGGTTCACAAGCTCTCTCCAGAACCACAGCAAACTTCTGCTCCTGGCATCAGGTGCAGGAAAGAGTAAATGCCTCCTCCTACCCCCTTCTTGAACCAGCAGCTCCTTTCTAGTACGTTCAGACTCCACAAGGGCCCTGAATGGCCAGTTCCTTTTTGTAAGGCATATAGCGGGTGGAAAGAGCACCTGTGGGAAGGAGACCTCCTTGGAGTTCCTTCTACCTACCCAGGGTCATTTCCCAACCACTCCTAACCTAAGGAAGGTGCTGACACCTTCCATGTATCTTGGGAGGTGCTTCTTGGACAACTAGGATTAGAGGACCAGAAGAATCGAGCCATTAACCTGGTCAACATTTTTGGAGGTTATTAAATACCAGGCATGAAAAACAACCGATGTCACAGTTAAGGAGAACCAGAATTACTAGGCTTCTTTATGTGTATTTTACATTTAAGAAGGGATTTTATTTTGGACTGAATATGGGAGAAGGTACTAGAACCCTAGAACCTTTTGGTTGCTTAAGATCTGAAAGCCTCTGAGATGTTCAAGTCTGAAGGTCAGCCTTCCTAGTGGGCAGCAGTCTCCTTTTACAGAACAACTTCCACTGGCAAGAAAAGGGCCTCTTGGGGGATGCTGTCCTCCAGAAGAAGCTGAGAAGGAAAGACAATTCCTGGGAGAGCCTGACTCAGCTTGCAGGCTAAGACCTCACAGGGCCATCACCACAGGGAACAGGATGGATGCCAAGATAATAAAATATTCAAAGATAGATTTGTTTGGGGAGTGTCAAAAGAAAAGGAGGAAGACCTGGTGGGAGAGAGAATAAAGAATGTTCTAAGAGAGGCATGCTTAGCAGTCTGACCCCCAACTCAAAATGATTTGAAAGAACAGATGGAAGAGGGAGCATATTTTCATGCAGGATGGCATTTCTTGGGTATTCATATGCTGCACTACATGATATGCTATCCATTTCCTCAAGTTCAAGATATAAATAAAATGAAGAATGTGCTCAGCTATTTGCCAGCAAGTTTCCTTAGATCACTAACACTGGTGAAAAAACAGTGGGAGAACCAAAACTAAGAAAAATCCAGCATGACTCCTGTGACCCAGGGGCTGCTTTTCCCTAATAGAACAGTCATTATTTTCTTCTTAAGCATATGTGTGTGATCATGAAGCAAAAAGAAAGGAAATTATCAATGTGCCACTTTAGAAACTCAACAGTTGCTGGCTCTTCCGTTTTATGGATGTTCTTTTGAATATACGTATTTACTATTAAGCTAATCCTCAAATATTTGCAATGGACAATAATTCTAGATAACAGCTTTATTTAAAAAAAAACCCACAAGTTCAACTTGACACAGAACAGAGATGAAATTGCTGTCAAACATAAAAATGGGAATTGAATTGCTTCTTCTTAGATGGATCTTTCACATTGACTTGACCATATGGACACTGAAATGAAGTAAAACAAATTAAATCAAATGATTTAGAAATCATCTTGGAAAAAGTACACTTCTCATGGTGGAAAAAAAGGAGACTGCTAACAATGTTATTTAGATCATTAGATATACCAAGTCTTGCAGACTAAGGAGAATGGCAACCTTGTGCAAATGGTCTTAATTAGGGTTGAAGAACCATTTCCTAAGTATATCCTTCCAACTTCAAAAATTTTACTGTCAAACCCCACTCTTAGAAAAGTTTTGGGTACACAATTTACACAAAGTTCTTTTGCATTTGATTAGAAACAGTTCATGGCACAGGTAGGCACATACATAAAAGTGAAGACTGACTTTTAAAACACTGGGTACAATTAATACATGCATTTAGTGTCCATTCTTTAATCAGAAAGTGGGCTACTTAAAGGAAATAACACATTCTTGCAACAAAACATACAAAGTGTTCTGTAAACAGATGTTATTGTTTATAACCTTAAACCAGTAACAATGTACCTCAATGGTATGCCTTTCAATAGAAAAAAAACAAAACAAAAAAAACAAAACAAAAACAAACCTTATTTCTTCTTTGCTCATACTACAGGAAAGAATAGTTCATTCATTGTGATCATTAAACCTAGACACATATCTATTGAAACAAGACTATTAGGATCTACAGCACCAAATTTGGAGTAATTTAGCTTTGTGGTTATCTTAAACATTGACTAGTAAAAAAGGGAGAATGGAAAGAGGGAGGGAAGGAAGGAGAGAGGGAGAATGTAAGGGAAGGTCTGGGGAGAAAGGGAAAAGAGGGAAGGAGGGAGGGAGGAAGGGAGAGAAGAAGGAAAGGAATCACTAGAGCTCCAGTACTGGACAGCTGCATGCCAAGGGAAGGGTTGACTGAGAAGCAGGGAAGAAAGAAGGGAAGAAAGAAACCTTTATCATTTGAAGGAGATGTGCCTCTCTCTTAATGTTGGGCAAATTTCTGTTTATTAAATGGAAATAAAGAAAATGCTTTCTGGGTTCTGGTTTGCAACATTCTGGCTTCTCCTCCTATCCTCTGTGCCTGTCTAATGAATACAACTTATTTGAGACTTCATGGAAGTTTCCTTTTAATGAAGCGTTCCCATGAATTCAAGTCATAGCATTTTCAGGAGCTGATGCTTGCAGTGAAATGTCATAAAATTCCATTAACTTTAAAGGTCCTGTGTTGGTACTAACTGCTCCATTGTCCTTTGCTAAAATAGCTCGTGAAAGGCACACTGCAAGTCCATTTAGCTTTTTTATTTGACTTGTTGTTCAAATAATAGGTATTTATGAAGTTACAGAAGCTCAGCGAACTACTGGGGTAATTGGAGAATTGTTACTCACATGTCTACAGGCAGAACCACAGCAAGCACCTCTCTGCAAGTGGGCCAGCCTCGTGAGCACCACATAGCCAGTAGCTGGATCAACATAGTTTAGCTGGCCAGCCTGAAGAGTAATAAAACCATTCATTAATCTTCACTAATGTTCATCATATCTCAATATTAGTTCTACTCCCAAACCCTGCAAAAATAAAAAAAGCAATATTCCCAGCAATGTTAGTGACACTTGCAATTAAGGACTGAATGCATTTCAGCATTATTCACAATCTATGTGATTAAAGGAGAAAATACACAGTTGGAGTAAAATGAGACGTTGATGGAAAAACAAGAAGTCTTCTGTATCCAATAACTATGTAGCCACCACTCTTGTATTTTTCATTCAGTTTCTAGGTAACAAGCTTAATAACAGGTGATTTAGATGATTTTAAGAGCTTAAGAGGCTGAAAATGAACTTCACTCAGAAGTTGCTGTTGCAATTTCAGTACTTACAATATGTGGATAATGATTTAAACTTACAGAAAAGGTGCTAATCAAAACCACCAGCCCTCACAGAAAACAGTTACCTTTGCTATTATTGAACACTTTTCTATACTTCACAATGTGTTGCTCCACTGCACCTTTTACACTATTTTTTCCCAGTGTTTAGTTCTATTTTTAAATGAAAAAAAAGTTGGAAAATGTATTGTTTTACCATATTTAACACTCACTGCTTTAGCAAGTTTGATCAAAAGCAACTTTTAGTATAACTGCTTCCAATGTCAAGAAGAATGTATTCCACCTACATTCAAATGTGATTAAAAAAATTAAGTCTCCAAAGCACTGCATGTAAAGGTACAGGTAAATTATAACTTATCTCATGGACTTGCATCACAAGATAATACTCAGCCTCGAGATTTTACAGGGAAGCCTCCTCATTGGCTGTTATGTAACACTGTTATCAGGAGTAATTTGATCTATCACTCTTGCACCAAGACTTTCCATTAAAATATGCATGAAGCCAACATGTCTTCTGGCACACATTTTTATATTACTCAGACAACCTCAGTTGTTCAGTGTCTTATTTAATGGCTGTACAACTTATTGTGGTTGAAGTTTAGTAAAGTCTGAAACAAAAAGAAAATTTCAAGTGTAGTTTCCCTCTAAGGCATTCCTGCACAGAGATCAAGGCCATTAGAATAGCACTCAGGAGGCAGACACAGGCAAAAAGGATCGGGTAAGACCCAAAACCAGTCTCAGGAGGCTCCCAAATCCTCTGGGGCCACAGGAAACCAGGAGCCCTAAACTCTGCTTTAGAATGGACTTCACTTTTTTCTTTTTCTTCCCTCCCTGCCTCCCTCCCTCCTCTATTTTGTTGTTGTTGTTTGTTTACAAAGCTCATGTTTAGAGACTAGGGAGAAAAATAAAACATTGCAAAGTTGACAGCAGTCTTTACTTTCCATAGCTTCTGAGTGCTTTCTGAGGGCAATCATCTGGCAACTGGATGCGTAACAGGTTGCTCCTGCACATGTGCTCTCTGGCTTCCTGTGTGGACTAAGCACCTCTGAGCTTGCTGACTGCCCATACACACTTAATTTGTCCTCTGAAAATGGGCCTGAGATAATGGTGGCAACAAAGATGAGGCAAGAGTGCTGACAGTTTGACTGGAGAGCAAGATGCTCAGTGAAGCACATCAGCAGTGGGAGAAAGGAAGAGAGCTATCTGCCTTGAGGCGTAGACAGGGGCCATTGTGAGGGAGCTGTGATTTGTGGAAAAAGAGAAATAACAAGCTTGTTATTGGGTTTACTTATGGTCTCCTGGACAGTCATGTAACCTGTGATACCGACATTGATGAAACAAGTGTGGATTCCCCCAGAGAGAATAAGTTCCTTTCTTTCCCCATGCTGATTGAACTTGTCTTTACATCCCGCTGCTGTTTGCTTTGCAAACGATGAAACTTCTTTTATCCACCATAGTTGGATGGGAACAAACTGCATCCATTATATTTAAAATAAAAGCATAAACATGGGCAATCACATGCTGCTAATAATTTTATTTCAACACCTGAAAGGATCAGACAGTGGATTCTCTGGGCATAGTACTGTCAACGGGGAAAAAAGTCAGTCTTAGGCAACTTTTAAGATTTTCCTCTCCACATCTGGTTCAAGTTCACCAACTCACTCATAGTTCTATCAAGTACTGGCCGCACACAAAACTGAATATATAAAGAAGGGTTAGATATCATTTTAGAACTTATTTTTTCTTATCATTCTTTCATAAAGGAAATAAAATAGAAATAATGCTACTTTCAAACTCTCGTGGTCTGAGATGTTAGAAAACTGAAGGGAGATGATAAATTTAGATACTGGTGGTAACAAACAAATGTCAAAGGTGCAAACGAGAATTAAACGTTTTATCCTAGGCTGCCTAGAGAACTTGCCTGATCGTAATTTCCTCTGTTTACTTGGACTGGAGGCCAAGGCCCAGGGGGCAGTGGGGAAAATAAAAAATGTGTCTTTTTTTAATCACAAAAAGATCACCGGGTGGCAAATGGTCAAGTGATCATGTAGATGCAACATATTTATACAATACAACAAACTTTTTCTATGACTGCTCAGGTCTTCAACCTCCATCAGTTCCTTAACTTGCCTTTTCCCCACCCACACACTCAGGCACACAGTGGAGCGCGCACGCACACAGATCCAAGTGTTTAGCTGGGACGCTAATCAGAAACTGAGCCCCACTCTCACTCAGGACAGACACCCGGTAAACCCTTTGTCCGGAACGGAAAAGAACGGTCAGGTTTCTGGCGGGACGTCGAGGCGCGAGCGCTAAGAGGACGTGCAGGGCCTGAGGCCAAGGACCAAATGGCGGCCTAGAAGCCAGGGGCCACGCGCGCAGGCGCAGAGGCCGTGGGGCGGACGGGCGGGCGAGCAGGAGCGGGCCTCACCGCGCAGGCGGTTGCGTGCAGCTCCACTATGTGCTGCTCGGCCGCAGTTAACGCTTCGCTTCCCGGAAGGCCTTCCGGCCTGCTTTGCGAGCGGGGCGTAGAGCCGCCGCGGGCTCCCTCCGAATCTGAGCAGAGCGCTAAGCTGAGCAGCTGCCCGCAGTCTGCAGTCCGAGGCGATGGCCGTCGCAGCGCAGTGCCCGCCAGCACCCGGATCCGCCCGGCCGCCATGGCGTCTGGCTCCGGGCGGTGAGTCGGAGCGAGGGGCGCGGCCCTCCGAGCTCCCGCCCCCAGGGAAGGCGGGCTGCTGAACCCTGGCCCTGCCTCCTTCCCGGTCCTCTGGTGAGAACATCACAACTGAGGACCAGAATCGCCTATGCCCCTTCCTGCTCTTGCAGTCTAAGCACTTTCTTCTGAGATAAAAGGGTGCACTTTTCCCCCCTCGTCTCCCTAGACGAGATTCAGCAGAATCATAAATGTTTAAAAAAAAAGGGGGGGGGGCCTGGAGAGATGGCTCAGCCGTTAAGAGCACTGCCTGCTCTTACAGAGGACCCGGGTTCAATTCCCACCACCCACATGGTGGCTACAAACCCGTCCTCAACTCCAGTTCCAGGGGAGTCCGAAGTCCTCTTCTGACCTCCGGGGCATTGCACCATACGGGTGCACTCAGATACATGCAGACAGTACATTCATGCACACAAAATAAAAATATTAAAAAAAAGAAACCAGGAAGTTAGGTTTGTTAGCACCGTACTCTTTATATAGAAAAGATTATGTGTTTACTGTGTGAAGGCAATAAAAGTTGGAAACAACCTTGGTAGCTTAATTCTTTGACCCACAACAGAATTAAAGTTAAGCTGAAGTCTCACACTAAGAAAAGGTGCAATTTTCTTGTAGCTAAGTATTTGCAAAATCCAAACTAAAATTATGCTTCCTGTCTGAAAGATGAGAGTTATACTGCTACCCCTACAAAATTAAATTTGAGAAAATTAGCACAAGCCCAGGAGGTAATTTCACATGTTAGAATTAAATTAACACCACCCCCAGTCTGGATTTCCAGAGAAGGGGAGTTGAAGAGTTAGTGGTTTTGTTAATGCTCTTTAGTATGACAACTGAGGTCCGGACTTGATCTACAAGGGCAAACAGATTAGTTGGACAGGAGAAAGGTGTATAAAGAGCTATAGATAATCAATACTGTCTTATTGTATCTGCATTTATCTTGCAACCTTGAAATCCTATTTTAATGTTCTTAATCACAGATAAAAACACAGCTATTTGGCCCATTATAAATCTTAGTGAATTGATAAATTGGACTTCCCATTTGGCAAAAGTTTCCTTTGTGTTGAAATAATAAATTTGGAGACTGTACCATATTCTGAGAGAAGAGTTTAAAACCTGGAAGGGGAACAGGAGATCCTAGAGAAAGCTAAGGAAGGATGGAATTAAACTTGAAATAAAAAATGAGTATCAATAAAAATGAGAAGTTAAACATTTCCATGTCAGCCCCAGCCAAATTCTTTAAGTTTGGAGATCCAAATGTATTTCACTGCACTTAAAATTGAAGATCAAGGTGTCAGCATGATAGCAACTTAAAGGATGGGGACCACATTTTATAGACCAGGTTGAAATAGAAAAATGAGAGCAATCATTTCTAGGAAGTGTAATTGTTACATGAAACATGATTGGGAGAAAAAAAGAAGTGACTAGAAAAAGGTTGAGCCAGGAGAATTTACATATGGGAATATAGCATAGAACTGTACATGCAGCGTTCCAATATCATGTTTCTGGTTTTCATATTGTAATTATGTAGTATGTGAGCATTGGGAGTAACAGGATAGAGAGTATATAGAGCCTCTTTACTGTATTTACAACTCCTGAATCTAAAATCATTTAACATTTAAAACAGTAATAAATAGGTGTACACATATTTTTCAGATTACTAAATTATGCAAACACCTTCTTTGCCATCTCCTCCATTCTCAGGTTTCATAGTCATCTTGAGCCAGGTGTGGTGGCATATGCTTATAATTGCATTGCTGAGGGGTTGGAGAGATGGCACAGCGGTTAAGAGCACTGACTGCTCTTGCAGAGGACCCCGGTTCAATTCCCAATACCCACATGGTGGCCATGAACCGTCCTTTACTCTAGTTCCAGGGGAATCTGAAGCCTTCTCAACTCCGTAGCATTGCACAACACGGGTGCACTCACATACGTGCAGGCAATACACTCATACACATAAAAATAAAATATTTTTTTAATATTCCAGTGCTCAGGAGGTGAACACAGGAGGATCATGGATTTGAGTCCAGCCTGAGCTACATATTTGAGTTCTGGTCACAAAAATGATCCAGTCTAAGAAAAAGAAAAAAAAAAATCCTTCTGGTTAGTCACTGACTCTGGCACACAGCTGAGGAAGCTCTTTGTATTAGTCACATGTTACCGTTGTGTGCATTGCTATGAATGCAACTTTAACATGTAATCAAAGTTGGAAATGATATAATTAAAATACATGGTAAACTATCTCACTAGTAATAATTCTCAAACAATTTGGTAACTTAATTACAGTATTATGTAGATATTGAATAGATTGTTGTCTTTCCTTCAGTCTTCATTTGATTCCCCAGTGTTATACCAATTAACTTTCTTTGTGCCTCTTCTTTTAAAAGGCCCTTGCAGGACTTGATTCTTAGCTTAGTCTTTTCAGATTCTCTGTGTTCAAATAGATAAAAACTGTAGGAAAGTGAGGGCATTAAGTACTACCTCAGAAGGTAAATTAAGTTCTCACTTCGTTATGAAGATTTTACAGCTAGATTTGCTGCCAGTCTTCATTTGATTCCCCAGTGTTATACCAATTAACTTTCTTTGTGCCTCTTCTTTTAAAAGGCCCTTGCAGGACTTGATTCTTAGCTTAGTCTTTTCAGATTCTCTGTGTTCAAATAGATAAAACTGTAGGAAAGTGAGGGCATTAAGTACTACCTCAGAAGGTAAATTAAGTTCTCACTTCGTTATGAAGATTTTACAGCTAGGTTTGCCGCAGAAAGAGTTGTTTTGTGCTAAATTCTACAAGTAACATGATATTATTGGGCAGATTTTATAAGTCTTCCCAGAATTTAGGGTGTTTATACTGGCATTAAACATGCTTGTCATGTTGGAGGATGGGTTCTAGGGAAATGCATTTCCCAAGATTTCAGTTATATTAATTTTTAAATAGGTACGTTAGAACTCTGGGTTGCAAAATATGTATACGTCATACAATTCAATCTGATTATAGCAAAGGACTCTTTTTATACATGTAACCATGAAGGATAACTAGATTCGGGGCTTAATGAATTGATGAGGGCTTGGTTCGCTCCATTTTCTGCCTGAGTGATAATTTACTTTTTAAGCAGGCTCTTTTCTTATTGGTGAAAAGTGGCTCAAACAGATTCTAGGGTGTCATAGTTTCTCATTCTTGTCTGGTAAAGAAAAGAGGAACTTACTTGAAGTTTGGGATGGGAGATGCTTCACGCTTCCTATAAATCTTAGCAGTCATCGTCAGTGTGAGAAACAAAAATCTTACCTTCATTATAAGAGTGCTACAGACTCACAGGAGTGACAGTGAGTCAGCTTATTTTATAACTTTGCAAATCCAGGAATCAGCCCAGAAAGGCAGGTGTGCTGATTGAGTACAGAGAACAGTTTTTAAACCCTAATACAAGCAAGCTCCTTCCTCCCTTTCCTTTCAGACTGAGTAAACAAGGTATATTATCTAGATCTTATCTTTTCTTCTGTCATATATGTTTGTCTTTGTCTTAAGAAAAAACCTTTTGTGGGTTATGTGGTTCACATTCTGTATATTTTAAAGTTTATGTGGTGGTTTGAATGAGGCATGCCCTATAGGCTCAAGTATTTAAATAATTGGTCGTAGGTGGTGGCACTACTTTCAGAGGTTTAGGAGATGCAGCCTTGCTGGCAGAAGCCTGTCAGTGGGTGTGGGATAAGGGTCCATAGCCACATTCCATCTCGTTTCTCTGTCTGCTTCCTGTGTCATGGTGTTTTATCATGGCAACAGAAAAGTAACTAGTAGAGAAGTACTCCAGAGAGTGGAGTATTGCTGTGAAGAACCTGACTATGTTGGTTTTGGGAAGATTAGGGAAGATTTTGGAAGTTTGGATTAGAAAAGTGGTTGAATGGTGTAAGCAGAGCTTAATGGGCCATTATAGTAGGGGCCTGGCTCAAGATGTTCCAGAGGGATATGGAAACAAGGACTTATACAGCAACAGGAATTTGGGGCAAAGACTGGCTTCCATCTTCCTCAGGCTAGATTAAAAGGTAATGGACTAATTTCTTTGGCAGAGGAAACTTCAAGACAGCCTAATGTTGAATCAGTGGCATAGCTATTAATGATGAATACTATGAGATCTAAACCAAAACAGAGCAAGTGCAGCAGAAAGAAATACAAAATGTAGTATGGAGAGGAAAAGAAGGTGATGAAGTTTAATAATGTGGGAGCCAAGGCTGGTGCTGAAGAAGAGGCTGTCTTTAATAAGGAGATTAGAGCCATTAAGAGAGGCCTCCAGACTTACATTTGAACAATAGAAAAAGCACCCTGAGAACAAGACCCTTCCCAGCTAAGCTTCCAGCTTGTGAAAGGAAAAGACCTAAGGACTTTTCTGCTCCTACAAAACCACAACTTAGAGATGCTCTCAATAATGTAAATCCCAAGCTGGCAGCCAGACTTGGCAATGTCATTCACATGGTGCTGGATTTAGAGGCATGAAAGATGCAAGAATGATTGGCCTTTGGTTCTTCCTCCATGATTTCAGAGAGCTGCTGAGGCCAGGAAATGTGTAGCAGAATAGTTCCTGTTTAAAGAAGGCCCTGGGGCTAGAGAGATGGCTCACTGGTTAAGAGCACTGGCTGCTCTTGCAGAGGACCTGGACTTAATTCCCAGCACCCACATGGCAGCTAACAACTATCAATAACTCCAGTTCTAGGAGGATTTGACACACTCTTCTGACCTCTGTGAGCATTGCACAGTATGGATGTGCTTACATACATGCAGACAATGTACTCATACACATAAATAAAAATAGTAAATAAAATATTTTTTAAAAGAAGGCCCTGGGAGGCCAAGAGGCCTTGAGAGGCTATTGTGTGAAGTTGTGAATGTCAAGCCTATTTGGCAATGGAGACCCCAAGATGGAGATGTTAGAACTGTGAGACATCTGCCAGGAGAGCTGTGCACAGGGAGTAGTGCCATCCCAAGGGAAAGAATTATGTTGCATGCAGCAAGTTGGAGGGG